TTTTTGTGCCATCAGAGTGGCAGTTAGGTATGTTTCAACATTTAATAATAATCATTCAAACATACCGAGCTGTCCCTTCGTTATTGTGACTGGACAATAACTTTAAAAATAGCCTGCGTAGCAAGCTTTTCCGCGCGAGTTTTCTGCAAGAGACTAAGTTTGTAGAGGGCAAAAAATGACGAAGGAGGGACCGGGAGGGACTAACTCGCGCAATAACTCTATTGGAAACGCTTGTTATGCAGGCTAGGTATAATATAAAGTGTTTCGTTAGTTTAATTTTACGCTTTGGGCATGGAGGGAAATTTTCATTGAATTTTCCTGGACTTAATTAAGTGATAATAAGGCTCGATTCAAACGTCAAATTTCACAAATGACGAACTTAATGACAATGCATGTACACGAAATGTAATGTTCCCATTCAAAAGCATTAGGTTCGCTACACATTTTTAACCGGGTCTTTAAGTTTTGATAAAGGTAAAGAGAAAGGGGAATTTTCTGCAGGAAAGGAGCGATAGTAAAAAGGGAGTGGAACCGAAAAATTTATTTGAAACACCACGACTGAATTTTTTATCTCAAATTGCTATATTCTTTTACAATTATTTCACAGATAAAAGAAACAAGGCAAAGTGATAAGTCTCCAGTGGAACGAAACACACAACAGAGGAAGATTGAAGTTAGATACATGGCGTTTGTCTTTCACTTACATCAAGAATCAAAAGCATTCTAGAATGAAAATCTTCGCAAAGAAAACATCACGACAGATGGGCTCCTGATCAAGAACATTTCTTACTTACCATGATTTTTGCACTGGCTTGCGTGAAAGAAGTGTTTTAAACTATTTTGCAGGTTGCCGTCCGTGACAACAGCGTGTATCTGGAACATTTATAGTGCTTCAAAAATTTGCGGCAGTCATTATGATTGTCCATTGACAGACTACAACGAGTACTTTAGACAATAAATCGTGAAAAGGTTTTAAAAAATCATTTTTATGCGTTTAAGTTTTAATCGGAATTATTCAGCTTTCTTATCATCTAATGAGGTTTTAGGACAATAAAGTACAAGATTAAGAACTCAGTTTCTTATCTGTCCACCTTTTTAAACGGTATCCAGGTCGCAATTGAATTTGATTGAAATCTCAAGTTGGATTCTAGCCTGTATATCAAGCGCTTATGACTAGCGAGGCAATAACGCGGCATTCCCGCGAAGCGGGAGGCGAACGCGGAATTCACGCGAAGAGCGAGACGAGCGAGAGGCGCGGTGCGAGGGGAGGAAAAAAACCAAACATATTTGGACGACAACTTTGTCACACATTTGACCTGAGGCTCAGACACTTTGACGACACTTTTCACAAGCCTTTGACTTTAATCACAGACATAACTTTACCGCGCTTTTGTCACACCTTTGGCCTGAATCTCAGACATATTTGACGACGCCTTTGATAGGGGTACAAATGCTAATGAAATATACCTTTGACGCGCGTCAAAGGTAGGGGTTAAAGGCGCGACAAAAACGGCCTTTATCGCCTGAAGACTCGCCTTTGACCGCGGGCAAAGGTAAACATTTGTCGAGCGTCAAAGTTGTACAAAGGTGTGCAAAGGTGGCCTTTATCGCCCGTTTGACTTCACCTTTGACGTTCGGTAAATCCGTTTTTTTGTTCCCTTGCAGGAGCAAGAGAAGAGCAGCCAATATATCTGAAATTGACATTACATCGGAAAGTGCGCAAGCCAGAATTAAAGTAGTAACTTTTTATCAGTTTGAATTATTATTTTTAGATACTTTTTATTTTTTTATTAACTTTTTGATGCTTTTTATAATTGCTATTAGTAGTCTTTAGATTGTCATTTTACGACAATTCTCTTTCGTACACAAGAAGAATGTACATAGGGTATATATTTTAATATTTCATATTCTTGAATCTGTAAATAGTCTATTTTTTTAAATCTATGAATAAAGTTTTGTATTATTATTAATATTATTATTATTATTATTATTTTATTTTTTAAGGCCCAAAACGCTCTCTCAAGGTAACCAATATAAAAGCTAATGGTCAATCATTCCTTTTTTTTCTCTTCTCTCCCACCCCTCGTTGTCCTTAAATTGCCGTTCTTTTTCTCCGTTCCTTTTTGTTCGCTAGTGTGATTTCTTTGTTCATCGGGAACAAAACTACCTTCGTTTGGTTCCTTTTTCACTTAAATGACGGCAAATTCTGTTACTTTGAGTTTTAAAAAAATCGGATAGATATAAATTGAAGATTTTCGTCAATGCAGTTTCACAGAGCTACGTAAAACTAGTCTACAATCATGAAATATGTGAGAAAAGGCAGGCAGATAAAGAGAAATTCATGTATCCTTGGTGTAGACAAGAATAACAAATTATACTCACGCTCCTTTCTTAAAGTCATCTCTATCTGGATCATTCACACGCAATTCTGTTGTAACCCCGGTGTCGCCATGTATTTTAATATAGATGTATGTGTCCGTCCCAGCATCCGGCTTGTCAGAGGTAGCAACTTCAGTATAGTACACTGTCATAAAGGAAGGTTATATCAAAAGTCAAAAAAAGAAGTTCATTTTTTTGTAGCCCAACATGAGGCTGGATGCAATTAAGTATTAACCGCAGAAGCTTTTTCAAATTGAAAGAAAAAAAATCAAACTAGGTAGACTAAAGCCCCATTTACACGACATTCATTTTGGGTCCGGCACTCCTAGAAATGGGCACGCGGGTCGTTACTTTTGGCACAGCCGCCTAATTTTTTTGCCGTGTAAATGCTATTTTTTGGCACACAGTCCGAAAAAATCAGGTCGGCCTAGACCACCTCGGGAGGTGGTCTTAACCCCCCTAACAAGTGGCCCGCGTATTCGTGTATCCGCCATTTTTTTCTTCTTCGACTTCAATGTTTGTACAACCTCAAAGTTTCCCGGAGAGCATCATGTAATGCTCCGAGACTGCAGAAAGTTAATTGGATTCGCAGAGTCTGCATCGTCCTATATCGTATTGTATTCTCGTTTCATCTGGCTAAACGGATCAATCACCCTGATCCGGCATGGCTGAGACAGAAAGGTAACATATTGTTCGCTTTTCTAAGGTGACCACTTCACGCATTGGACGATCTAGCTCCACATTCGCTGTGTGTACTAGGCTTCTTATGATATACGAAGAACTTTAGCACAAAATATTGAATAACGCATATCGTACCGTACAAATGAAAGCAATAAATCACATTCCATGACGTAGATCTGTCCGGTCATGTTCTCGGGAGAGTGGCAGTGGTTCTTTTCTCGCAAGCGACCACTATGTCTTTGCATTTTGGGTGGTCGCTTACTATCCTTGGAAGCCTAGGGGCGGTCGGTCGAGTCGGGAAAAACGGCGGCGACAGTTTTCAAGAACGGGCGAGAGAGCCACTGGGATGCTACTCTTATCGAACCAGTACCACGACTCATTCGAGCTCTTGTCTCTGA